AAACATTTTAAACAGCAGGGACAGGGATCATTCCCGAACTTGTAATCGTGTTTTGCTTCCTTTCGTCGAAATTGAACATCGTTCCCGTTACTGACCAGCCATACATTAATCGTCTCTTTTACAAGTGAAATGAAAATTGTTTGTGTGGAAACCAAAGGTGCTACGTTAGGTTCTGATGTCCTGGGCGGAGGAAATTCCATCTGATATTTTTGCTTCATGTAATCTAGTAAGATCTGTGCTCTTCCTTGATCAACAACACACAAAGCCTCGCCAAAGTTTGAAAGTTTCAGCAAAGTTCTGCTCAGGGCATCGTACTCAATCTGACGAGCATTTCGTATGCATATTTTGTGAGCATCTTCAGCCTTGATAATGTCCCTCTCATCATTTACGAGCTTTAAAGCGGAGCGATAATGATCCAAGGCTTCATGTGGGAGATTGAAGCTTTCCATAGTACGGCCAAGGATATAATTCGCCACTCTCTCGCCACATTTGTTTCCTTTTTCTTTTGCAAAGGCAAGACTTTTCATACCGTAGTTAACAGCTTCCTTGAAATTATTGAGTCCAAGATAGGCCTCACCCAAATTGTGGTAGGTACATCCTTCTGGCTCTTCTACCTCCTCTTCTTCAGCAATGCTAAGAAATTGGCCGAATAATTCGATGGCTTTCATAAAATCTCTTCGCAGCAGATGAGCCCGGGCAAGACCGAAATAGGAGCTTGCTTCTGCTTTCCTATTCTTGATTTCTTTAGCAATGGAAAGTTGAATGTCAAAGTACCCTTTGGCTGTGCTGAACTTACCAAGGATGTTATGAACCAACCCAAGGTTGCTGTAAGCGTCTTGTTCACCATCGCGGTCCCCTACGTGTTTGGCGATGTCGAGTTGTTGCATGAAGTTCTCTGTTGCTTTTTCATAATCGTTGACATAAAATCGATAAGTTTCGCCCAAGAATTTTTTAGCTTTTCCTTCCGCAACTTTATCCCCAGTATTTTTGGCAATGATCACACTTTGCTCCGCGCACCATATGGCTTGTTTATAATCACTGAGGTCGCGATAACAATGTCCAAGGTCAAGGTTTGCCTTTCCCTCTCCCACTCTGTCCCCAAGTTCTTTTGAGATAACAAGGTACTTGTTGTAGTGTTCGATGGCTTGTTTATAATCACTGAATTTATCATAGAAATGGCCAAGGGCGTGGTTTGCATGTCCCTCTCGATCTCGGTTTCCTAGTTCTTTGGAGATAGCAAGGTAGTTGTTGTGGTGTTCTACGGCTTGTTT